AAACTGTGTAAAACAATGATTCAAACACATTGGAGAATATCCCTTTTCAATCTTCTCTTTTCATCCAATTCCATGCCTGTGACACAGTCCTACTAACAGAGGAGCCACAAAGGAAGCTGTCCCTGAAATCCCACTCTGCCATGAGCAGCTGGACCCAGCCAAGAACCTCCCTGTGAGGGGGAGCTTTCCTTGTAGTGACCTCAGCAGGCAGAGGATGTGACTGACTGCATCCAGGTGTGGGTGAGGTGGTCATCCAATAAAGGAGTAATAAGAGGATAAGAGATGCTCTATTTTGCTCTCATGGCTATTCTCAGATCAAGCTGCAGCAGAAGCAATCCTATTTCATAAAAGCAGGTCTGAAAGGGTCCCAGGCAAAGGGTAAATTACAGAAAGAGATACTGCAATTAGGCTATTTGTATTCTAAATTCTATAAATTATGTTTTCTTCTTTTTTTTTTTTTTCCTGGCACAGAATACTGTCTTTAAAGACACTCTGAAAGCTCATCTATGCCCAAATTGCACTCTCAGAAGCTTCTGGAGAGGTGAACAACAAATGGATTCTGGAGAACAGGGAAACTGTCCTAGTGCTGGGCTCTGGTTTTTGCACTGAGACATGGGGGTCAAAGATTAGGCTTGTGCCTGCTGCCTGTAGTGGAATCACAGCTATCCTGCCAGTCTGCTACAAACCTTGAAGAGAATCCAAGTCTCAGCCTTCTGCACTTGTGCTTATCTCATCAGACCACAGGCACCACAGAAAAGTCATTTCCTTTCTCCTGCGAGCACCTCCCACCAAACACATCACACTGAGATGACTTCTTGTGACCACAAACACAGGAAAGAAGATCCAGGACTAATCAGCCTCTCAAATAACAGACAGACACAGCTGCTGGAAATCAAACACAGAGGGTACAATGGTCACCTGCATGTAGCATTAAGTTTTGATCCATTCACACTTCAACACAGCAGCCACGAGCAGCTCAGAGGAGGGTCATGCTCACCAACAGCATTTTCCTTTGTGAAGAGGTCCAACAGCTTTGCTGTCTGACTTTGCACTAGAGCTATGCACTGAGATGGTCATCTCAAATCAGACAGAAATAAAGTATTTACCTAAGTGGATTTGAACAAGAGCCTGGCCTACAAACACTTCCCAGTCCTGACTGTGGCAGAACAGCTTGCTGAGCAATTCCCAGCAAGGACCAACATTCACTCCTCGCTTTCCCAATCAGTGAAACAAGGAGAGTGTTTGCCCAACTCACAATCCTTGTGCACACAAACATTAGTGAGTACAGTCAGCAGCACACTTTCACACAAAAAGCCCTGTTCTGAATGTCTACACTACAAGATATAATGCAGAAGTCACTGTGACACCGTGGTGCACCTGCAAATTCCACAGTCAGAAAGTGCTCTGATGCCCTTTCAAGTTTGGGATTACAAGAAAGGACTCCAAGGGTGATGAATTTCAGGGCCATTTTAAGCTGAACAAAACACCACATGAACGGACAACACCAGTGATCCACCCTACAGAGAAAGGTGAAAGGAAAAAATTACTTGCACAGCTGCATGAATAATTTAGTGACTCTGAAACAACACCATTTATTTCCTTCAATTTAGACACTGCCACTTACTACCAGCATCCTCCTATAGAAGAAACCTGGAAATAAGTAAGAAGTCTTCCCAATGATTAATAAAACTTGCTGAAATTCTTCCAAATAATTTATTTCTACACCACAGGAAGTCTGGGAAATTTCAGCCTGAATTTAGCAGCAACCATAATAAAAGGATATAATGAAACTTTGCTGTAACTGGAAAAAGAGTTTCCACTACCACACACTGGTGCCAAAATACCTACAATGAGATAAAGTCAATGTTTTATTTACTGGAATACTTCATAAATTCTTTCACAACAGTAATTTACCTTAAGTACACTTCATTATCAGAGCTCATTCCTCAAAACACAAGCTATTATGTTTTCAGGACTCTTTTCTTAACAACCCAAGCTTAAATCAGTCACTGCTGAACAGATAAGAAGATTCCCCTACACATGCACATGTAGGGGAATACAAGATAAACAACACTTTTGTGCTTGGTAGTTCTCAGCCCCACTCTAACACCACTGCCCAAGCAATTCTCTGCAGTTCCAGGTCTATTCCACAGGCACAAACATCTGCCAAGCCCACGCAGGGAAAATGACTTCTCCTTTTCCTCATCTGCTTCCCCAGAACTTGCAGATCACTAAGGTGTCTCTGCCAGTCACATCCCACAATATCCTTTTTTTTTTTATATTTAGCTACTCCAGAACATCCCCACGTCAAGGTAATTTGTCAGACCCTCTCCAGTTTCAAAGCAACAAGAGAAACCTGAGACCCCTGTGCACCCGTGACAGTTCACAGACTATCAGTTTCCAAAACATGCTCTTTGTGCACAGGCTGACAGCTGGAGGCTCTGCTGAATCTTTATCATGCCCTAAGCTCAATTTTCAATGCTTTGTAGCAGACAAAAGGAAAAGATGTCATCTAAGTGACAACAGGAAGATGGAAGAGGCTGAAATAAAGGGATTCAGAGCTATGTTGCCTTCATCCTGATCAGGAGAATTCACTTTTGAGTCTCCACAAAAGATGCTAAGGCGTTGAGGATGTGGACATTGAAGCCATAAAAGGCACTCTCTTCAGCACTTTGTTTTCAGGAGCCTTTAGACACTGCTTACTCTTGAGCCATACACAGAACTCAGCAGCAGCTTTACCAATGCCATAAAAGATTTAAAAAAAAAATCAGCTTTTACTTTTCATGGCACTCAAATGCACAGTGATTTTCCATGCTCCACTGGAAGTTCACGTTCAACTGTTTTTTCACTCTTTAAGTGATTTAGGACTCAGTCACAAGAAATAAAATCATGAAAGGGAAGGACAAAGGAGAAAATGGGCAGGTATTGATACTCCAGACTCTCTGATCAAGAGATCTTCTGCATGCAGCAGCACAGACAATCCCTGCTGGCAAAACCAGAACTCCATGTTTTTGTTAGGACCCACAAACCCTGAAGACCTAGGTGGGGAACTTTATTTTCTGAGTTCCTCAAACACCTTTCCAACGCCTTCAGCAGCCTGCTGCCCCAAAATAATGCAGGGATAAAAAGCAAAGTCGAGAGCTTTTTGCATTTTAATAACCCTGCTCTCAAGCCATGTTTGTTCTCAATGCTTAAGTAAACCCACATTTCACAGGGTCATAGCAGGCTCCCAGCAGTGCCCTTTGCCGAGGCCAAGGTCTTGGTAGCTAAGCCATAATCAAGTGCAGAGAAGGAAGGGTGAGATGATGCAGGTAATGGACTGTTTATTTACAAGAAGTAGCTGGATGCTTTGCCTTGTGTAGCTTGGCAAAGACAGAGACTGAAGGGGATACAATTACTATCTACAAATACATCAAAGGAATAAATGCTGGGGAGGGAGGGGAGCTACTCAAGAACAATACTGGCACAAGAGTTTAAAAGTATAAACTGACCATAAATAAAATATGGAGCAGAAATCATAAAGTTTATCTTACAAAATACTTCCCAGTTATAACAGTGGGGGTAAAAACTTTAACTGTCTTCATCTGCTTTTATAACCCCGCCAGCCTGGCACCCACCACTGTCCTTGCACAGCAAAGAACCCAAAGAGGAAGGCAGACTGAGAACCAAGCAACTCTGAGATAAGCTGGCTCATTATTCCTTTCTGGAAGATACCACACTGCCAGGCAGATAACAGCAAGCCGCAGTATTTGCTCAGTCCATAGCTCCAAAAGCAGCATTAGGAATTTAGTAAGAGGGCATGTGTGTGCACAGAGAGCACGCAGCTTCCAGCTTAGGGTGGCCTGTCTCCTAGAACTGTGGGGACAGCAGCCTAAGGAGCTGAGCGTGCCCTCCACGCAGGCACGCCCAGCGCCGAGGGTTTGGGTGGAAAAGCCCAAAAATCTGGGACAGACCGCGGCTGTCATTCCGCTCCCGGCCACCGGGTGTCGCCAGGGACCGCCGCAGAGCAGCGCAGACCGGGATCGCGATTTACCCCAGCCAGTAATAATAATAATAAAATAAATAAATACATAAATAAATAATAATAGTAATAATAACAACAACAATAATAATAACAATAAACAACCCGGGCATTAATAAAGCACCAGTATGTTTTTTTCTTCCTTTTAAAAGCCTCTGTTCCTCAAATCAGACCGTTAACCAAAAATCACACTCTTCACTTAGAGCTATCTAGCAGAAAAAACAGAAGGGAAAAAAAACCCAACCAAACTGAACTACGCCACGACTTCATCAGAGGTTAACAATACACACGTTCTTTATTAAAGTCTCATTTGGTGATTTTAATCCACAGATCCGGATCATTCAGACTTGATAACAATGCGAGATACAGCTCATGTGCCCATGAAAGGCACACATAAACACACAGGGAATGACTGACCTGTGTGCATTTGTATTTGCTCTTGCAGCATCCACAAGTGCTGAGCTCAGAAACACCCAGCACTCACATTTCCTAGGGAAGAGGGACCAACAAACCAAAGCCAGCAACTACAAAACCCTTCCTCTCTCAACCTCTTCCACTCATATCTAACTCCCACAAACACTCCTGAAGCAGGAGTGTTCAATGCACATCTAAAGTAATAGTTGCCCAAGACATTAAACCACTAGAATTAACTTTTCTTTAGATCTGTTTTTCTTCCTTTCAAAACTGAGTCATGTATTTCCTTATATATCCTGGCAGACATTGAATAAACTGAAATCAAATCCTCTTACCTCAAAAAACTCCTTCATGAACTGCACAAAAACTGAAGTCAGTTAGAACTGCTACTAAGAGCTGTGTGTTTCTAAACAAGAAATTTTGCTTTCACAGCTGCTTGTCCCTTCTGATTGCACAAAGGAGTAATAGCACTTAATTCCAGCCCTCCCACTCATTCCCATAGCAACAAAGGTACACAAATTATTATTATGAAAAGATCCCCAAATTACTGAAAAGTGAACAATACCTGAAGCTTCCTATTCCAGGTACTGCCAGCATACAACTCCAGTTTGCCAATTTTAACTTAATGCTGAGCTGCCTTCTCACCAATTTAACTGCTCACCAATTGTACAGCACTTTTGTATCTTATTTTTAATGAGAAGCTGAGCAATGGTTTTGCCCTGAAATAACAAGCAGCAGAAAAAAGATTCAGTAGTTACAGTGAACTGCAGAGAGCTGCAAGTGAAAAGTTGTTAATCAGTTAAAAACACAAAAAAAAAATCAAGTTTCTGCTGAAGAAATAAAGCAATTGCAAGAAAGGTTATAAACAATACAGCAAAACAATCATTTTACTTTAATTTTGGATTTGCATAATTTAATTAAAGTCAGCATAAGAACTAAGAGTGCTTTAATTCACCTGCATTTTTACAGCTAAAATTCAGTTGCCATGTTAAACAAAGAACCCTTTCATTTTGATTTTTATTAGGCTTTCATTTATCTGGAAAAATACAGAATTAAAAAAATCTAGCAAGTGCCCTTTCAAGGCCACAGTGCATTCTCATATAAAACAAATCTCAAAGAGGAAAACAAACTCAAGTTTTAGTCTCAAACTAAACATTAACCTCAAAACATTTTCAGCAATACAAACAGTGTGATAAAAAACAATACAAAACCCTGATAATATTAACAATCTGGAAGAAGGGCTTTCAGATGAATGTGAAGAAGGGGTGATCAATTCCAGTCTGTAAAGGGTATAAACAACAGTACAGATGGGTTATGTTGCAAAGGAGATCAGACTAGATAATGTAATAGTCCTTCTGGACTTTAACACCTGACAGAAACAGAATCAAAATTTATCAGACTGAAGAGTTGATAGCATAATATAGACTTGGAAAATGGACAGCTGCAAATATTTGCTTCCTGCCAACACTTCTAAATTATTTTGGTTGTTGAAAAGACTCAATCTATAAGACCTAGACAGAAAACACATTCTATGCTGGGACCTTCAGAACAGCCTCATGGAATTACCCAGTGTTTGTGCTGCTGCAATTTGAGTGTGATTTTTACAGCCCTGTACACTGGCTGAGCTGCTTCTTTCCCACCCCCACTTCCTGCTTCCTTCTCACTGAAATATTTTGTTAAAACTTGCATTGAAATATCAGCTAAGGCAAAAATACATCATAGGAACAATTCAACCAAGGCAATATTCTGGCATCAGACATCCTTCACTCCCAGTCTGGAGCTTTATTTACCAAAGCATCCATCTCTATCCCATTTCCCAGTCCCTCCACCTTCACTCACTTAAGAAGCTAAAAAAGCACTGTCTCAGTCATGTGCAGAAGTTACCTCCACATGCATTTAACTAACCAGCCCCAAATTAAATGCAGGAGGAAATAAGAGAGGAAAATGCACCAGCAAGAATTTATGTAACTCTTTTAACTCCTCTGTTGAAGGAAAGGGGACAGTTGCAGGGACATGAGAAGCAGAAGAGATGAAGGAGAAGTGGGTGGTGGGTCAGGGTGAAGGTCTCTGAGGAGGGCAAAGGCACATTTGAGGCTGAATTTCCTAACCCCACAAGGGATTGGGCAATATGCTCTTTTTCTGCTTTTCTTATATCCTCCATTGCCCATCTTGCACCTGAACTGCTCTAGAGTGCAAAAGCACACTCCAAAACCTTGCCAAGACCCTGATTCACAATTCTCAATGCTTCTTTTTAATGTCTGCTGTGAAAGCCACTAATGGGCTTGTCCTCACACAGGAGAAGCTGAGCCCTATAAAAAACATCTTTTCATGCACCAAATAAACCAAAGTTTTAGATTGTCTGCAGAAGCAGCTTGGTATCAACACAGCTGAGCAGCAGGGTAGTGCTGATTTCCTTCTGTTTTGCTCATTTTTCTTTTTTTTTTTTTTGCTCCAGAAAAGCTTGAAAATACCATTATTTTTTATACTTCCAGTAAAAAGCACAACAAAGCTGGAAAACGCTGCCAGCAGGCAACTACCATCTGGTCTCTCAGGAGACCTCCCACGCAGTCAGGTACAGACCAGACCCCAGAGCTGCCCTGCAAAAATGATGCACTGAAAGAAAAAAGCATTTTTAAAAAATTCATCTTGAAAGGTTGAGAGAATTGGGATTGCTCAGCCTGGAAAAGAGAAGGCTTTGGGGTGACATAATTGCAGCCTTCCAGTACCTGAAGGGAGCCTGCAAGAAAGATGGAGAGAGACTATTTACCAGAGCCTGGAGTGACAGGACAAGGGGGAATGGATTTAAACTGACAGAGGGCAAGAAGAACTTCTTCCCTGTGAGGGTGGTGAGGCCCTGGCACAGGTTGCCCAGAGCAGCTGTTGGTGCCCCATTCCTGGGAATGTTCAAGGCCAATCTTGTATGGAGATTGGAGCAACCTGGTGGAAGGTGTCCCTGCCCATGGCAGGGGGTTGGAATGCGGTGATTTAAGGTCCCTTTCAACCCAAACCATTCTATGATTCTATGCTCTTTTTTAAAAAACATTTTAAGCCACCTGAACATCATCAATCCATGCACAGAAGAACTCTTATGTGGAAAAAATAAATTAATATATTTATTTCCAGAAGGTCTAAGACTGCAGAAGAAACAGGCAGGGCCCAGGTCATGCCAATGTATGCAGAGGCTGCCCAGGAATTCCAGGCCCACCTTTCCCTACAGGGCTATTCCTAGACCCCATAAAAAGATATTTGGAGGAAAACAAACAGCTACACCAGTCTTTAACTCCAAACAAACAGAAACCAAATGCAAACTTTAAACAAACTTCTAGGTGCTGTAAAATCAGCAGGTAGAAACCATGGGATTCACATGAACACAAACCTGTTCAATCTCTCTGCTGACACGAACAATTATCTTCAGGAGCTGCTCTGCACACACACTTCACTGAATCTGATTATTCTCTCAAGCAGGAAACCCACTGAAATATGAGGAAATAAAAGGCATTAACATAACTTAGTTCTGAGAACAAAGTTTTTACAGACCTAAAAACCAGCATACTAAGAAAAGAGTTTGTGTTTCTGCATTCTTTCAAGTATATAACACGTCCAGGAAAAATTTATTTAGAATTATAGTATTCCAACCAATATGAGCCAGAACACAGAATTGACAATTCCCCTCCCCCTCTGTGTATCTTGTAGGAAAAGTTAATTCTGCAACACAGTATACTTAAAGATATTCTGTTCATTATATAAAATAGAAGTGCAATAGGATATGCATATCACAGCTTTGGCAGTAGTTTCTGTAACTACTTTTTTATTCAAAACCATAGAAAAGTTTCTTTTCCTTTTTTTCCCCCAAAGGAGTAAAACTACCAAACAAAACCACACAAACTGCAACTTTAATTTCTTCTTCTGACCTCTTCCAGATTTGTTTGGGTGTGGGGTTTTTTTGTTGTTTTAGACTGTCACTATCATTAATAAAGATTCCCATCTGCACCAAACCCGGGTGAGGTCAGCGGGTGCTCACCAGCGTAACTTCCTAATACATAAATTGCATTAAATCACAACTCCTTAAGGCTGGAAAAGCATTTGTGATCCAGTCCAGACATCAAGCCAGCACTGCCAATGCCACCAGCAAACCGTGTCCCCAGGCACCACATCCACAGGGCTCTGGGCATCTCCAAGGGACGGGGATTCCACCACTGCCCTGGGCAGCCTGTCCCTGCCGGTGGTCCTTATCCCGACCCTTATCCCTGACCCTGCCGGTGTTCCTTACCGGATCCTTATCCCTGTCCCTGCCGGTGTTCCTTATCCCGATGTTATATCCCTGTTCCTGTCCCTGCCGGTGTTCCTTACTGGGATCCTTATCCCTGTCCCTGATGGTGCTCCTTATCCCGATGTTATCCCTGTCCCTGCCGGTGTTCCTTATCCCGTACCTTATCCCTGTCCCTGTCCGTGCCGGTGTTCCTTACTGGATCCTTATCCCGGCCGCTTCATGGGATCCCTGTCCCTCCCGGTGTTCTTTACCGGGATCTTTAACCCTATCCCTGCCGGTGTATCCCGATCCTTATCCCTATCCCGTCGGTGTTCCTTATCCCGGCCGTGTCACGGGTCTCTGTCCCCGCCGGTGTTCCTTACCGGATCCTTACCCCTGTCCCTGCCGGCGCTCCTTATCCCCGCCGTGTCCCGGTCCCGGTCCCTGCCGGTGTTCCTGTCCCGGTCCGTGTCCCTGTCCCTGTCCCTGCCGGTGTTCCTTACCCCGATCGTTATCCCGGTCCCTGCCGGTGTTCCTATCCCGGTCCGTGTCCCGGTCCCGGTCCCTGCCGGTGTTCCTGTCCCGGTCCGTGTCCCTGTCCCTGCCGGTGTCCCTGTCCCTGCCGGTGTCCCGGTCCCGGCCCGGGTCCCTCAGAGCCGCCCCGGCAGCTGCCGCGTGCGTCCTGTCCCGGTCCGTGTCCCGGTCCCTGTCCCGGCCCGGGTCCCTCAGAGCAGCCCCGGCAGCTGCCGCGTGCCCGCCGCGCGGCCTCTGCCAGCCCCGCCCCCGCCGCCCCATTGGCTGCAGCGGCCGCCATCTTCCGTCTACGGAGGCGGGGAAGGAAACGACGCACGGGAAGGGGATTGGAGCAAAGGCGGAGGGGCGGGGTCGTTGGACAATCGGCGCGGTCTGATTGGCTGGTGCAGGGAAGCCCCGCCCCGGGGCCGCGGGCGCGGCTGCGCTCGGCCATGGCGGGGTTGGAGCGCCCCGCCGGGAACGGGCACGGAAACGGGAATGGCTCTGGAGTGGGACACGGAGCCTCCCCCTCCAGGACAGCAGGATTATTTCATTATTTCCTAGGAGGGACCCAAACACGAAAAAGGACAAGAAGGTTAATTAGGTTTTCCCGGATGCTTTTTTTTTTTTTTCCAGTTAAACTTCCAAACAGTATTTTCTCTCCTTTTCTTATTTACCTATTACTGGGCTAACTCATCCAGGTTATGAAAAGGAAGATGGCATAACTAATATTTGCTTCTTTTAGTGTTTTATTTATATTGTCCCAAGTTTTTTTAATTTAAAATTCCTTGTTCTGCTCTGAATTTACTGTGCAGAACTGATGAGCAGCATTAATCCATAACCTTGGATGGATGTTATTCAGTGATGAAAATAACTTGTACCTTTATTCTCATAGCAGTTTAAACCACATATATGGTCTTTTCTCATAAATTATGCGAATCATATTACCAAGCGTCCTCCAGGACAGCAGGATTATTTCATTATTTCCTAGGAGGGACCCAAACACGAAAAAGGACAAGAAGGTTAATTAGATTTTCCCGGATGCTTTTTTTTTTTTCCAGTTAAACTTCCAAACAGTATTTTCTCTCCTTTTCTTATTTACCTATTACTGGGCTAACTCATCCAGGTTATGAAAAGGAAGATGGCATAACTAATATTTGCTTCTTTTAATGTTTTATTTATATTGTCCAAAGTTTTTTAATTTAAAATTCCTTGTTCTACTCTGAATTTACTGTGCAGCACTGCTGAGCAGCATTAATCCATAACCTTGGATGGATGTTATTCAGTGATGAAAATAACTTGTACCTTTATTCTCATAGCAGTTTAAACCACATATATGGTCTTTTCTCATAAATTATGCGAATCATATTACCAATATCATGGACAAATAAATAATTTCAAGACTTTTTTTAAACATAGAAATATTTTCATTAGCTTAGTTTGCACTTCCATTTTTAAAAATGGAAATAAGAATTTGAGCAATGTATTGTTCTAGCAAGATAAAAAAGGCTTTAGCTAAACCCAATGACATGCTGAAGTTACATGGACAATGACCATAGAGCAGTATAAAAACCACACCTTGTGGTTCAGTCTAATGCCACCTTAAAGCAGAAAGTGAATCAAGACTTCAACGTACTGACAGTTTCATTTGTCTGTCACTAGCTGTGTGCAATATTTTAATTCTACATGCTCCAGTATAACTGTTAATTTTACTGTTTCTACTTACGTAGGTACATAAATAATGCATGTATTTATGTTCTACCAGTGCAGTTATCTGTCTGTGAGCAGAGATTACCACTTTATTGATAACTGCAACATTTTGAGTAGTTTATTAGAACCAGGTACTTTTCCTGAGGAGTCACAGATGCACAGCTCACTGAACTCCCATGAAAAGTGCCCCTTTATGGTTTATTTTTGTTCCTTTAACAGTTATTTGATTGACATTTTTACAGCGCAGTGCGCACAGAAAAATTTCGAGATACATCAAAGCACAAAGGCCCAAATGACACACTCATGTTTTCATAGTAAATACCTTTCCCTCTTTGTGAAGCCTCGTCCTGCCCGAGCTGTCACCCAGAGCTCAAGTCTGCTCACACTGGTGAGATTAGTTCTGAAGAGTTCCAAACAGGAGGCAGATGATTTCACTGAGAACACAACATGCATTATAAGACTGTGTTGCAAATGCCAGTGTTACAATAAGATTTTCAGCTGGTAGTTTTTCATCTGAGTTTCCCCAGGGCAGTTGCCACAAATTCATCAAATACCTTCTGGTCATTGTTCACATGGTAAAAACAGCTGCAAGATCAGCTGGAAAGCCACAGTTTACAGCCACGGGTTTGGTGCCCAGTACTCCCAGACATGTGCAGCTGTATTAACAGAAAATACCATTTTTTGGGTAGCACACCAATGCTGCTTTTAAGGTGGAGATGTGTACCCATGCAGCTGTGAAGTTTACCAGAGGAATTGCAGGGCAGATGCTCCAGAGATCACTTGTAACTTTTGACAGACATAAAAGATACAGACTTGACTTTGGAGACATAAAAGATATTTTGAGAAAGGAATCTTTAAGATCTCCACCTTAAAAGAAACCAAAGTCTAAACAAATCTGAGTTTCAGTGTCATGTACTCTAGGCTAGAGGTCAAGAACTCAAACAGCAAATTGTCTGGAATGAGAATTTTTTTTTTTTTCCTGTGTGTTTCCATCTACCTAATATGCCAAGGTTATTTTTGTGGCAGTGTAGTTTGGCTTGCAACTTTTCCAGTGTAACGATTTGTAATTAGCTCCTATGTGCATAGAGACAAAGTGTTACATTCCAGGGATCAGCGAACACAACTCCATCAGCAGATTCCTGCAGCTGAAGTAGCAGAAGTTAATGCAGTTTGCTGGAGAAAGTGGTTTATTTTTAACATCTTTAAAAGGTACAGCTCATTGGTTTCACTTGTCAGTTCTCCTCTTTGTTGGGGATAAGGGGGAGGGAGGAGCTTGCAAACCTCTCTCTGGCATTTTTTTGGCAGTTCTATCTGCAGAGCTTGACAAAATGTACAAGTGAGGCAAATTTATTATGACTGATGATAATCAGGTTTTGGGATTCACTGAAGGCACTTCAATGCTTAATTGCCACTTAGTGCTGAATAAGCATTTAATAAACCAAAATCAAGGGCTGATTAAATTATATACTCTAATTACATACTATAATAAAAAGAAGTTTTGATTGCAAAGTCAAGTTGTTGGGTAAAGACACCATTTTTAGAGGTCAGCTCAGAGTTAGCAGTGCCTGACTTCACATAACCTAAGCCAACTTCCTTCATCCTGCAGTAACAGAGATGTGTCTTTCATCTCTTTGCTACAGCAATCCTTAATTTTAATAATACTGAGGTCAGAACAGTGCTCACAGTTTCTCATACCTGCACAGGGGGCCAGGTTAGGATTTTATAGTGGATCCTGATGAAAGCAAAAACCTGGGCCATGCGCTGAGGGCTCCTCCTCAGCCTCCCTGTTTCCTGTAGCTGTCCCCAAGAAGCTGAGTGGATGTTCTAGGCACATTCAGGTAGGAAAACAGACTGCAGACAGGTATTTCTGTTTTCCTGGTCATCCTCACTATCTGAACAGGCCTGCTAGGGGTGTACATATTGAAGTTTGATGGTTTTTTACTGTCAGTTTTGTTAGTGGCAAGAATTCCAGATTCTTCCCTGAAGCCAAAAGATCAAGCTGAGCACCAGAGCAGGAGCCTTCCTCCCACCTCAGAGGTAGCAGAGGGCAGCTGAAGTGCACAGTTCACCCAGTGCATGCTCACTTTTTCCTGTACTTGTACAGAGGCAAAACAGTGGAGCCAAGCTTGAGCATTACCTTCCTGCTGGCTTTTCCCAAGAACCTGAGTCAACCCTCCCACGTGTGAGACTCCTGAATGCAAAAGGCATGCATTGTAAAGCAGCTCAGATCTGCCTTTTGGGAGGGGCAATTTCTTGAGAAGGAAGATTTGCCAGATCCCACAGGCTGTACAGGTTTTTGTTGGGAGGGTACCATCTTTATTTTTGCTTCAGCATCTGATCTCCTTACCCCAACTGAGACAGATGGACACCAAGATCCCTTACAGAAGGCTGGTCCCCAAAAGCCCAAGTCGAGCCCTAGGCCACTGTATCATTTGTGTATTCCAGAACTCTTGATCCTAGAACAGGGTTCTTGCATAACTACTGAAGTGTCATGTATATAAATTCTAAAATAGTCATTTATTTGCATTGACAAGAAAGAAAACCTGGCGACCAGAGGTTTAAAAAAGGTGCCCAAACAGGTCACTAAGTGTAAAGAGCCAACCTGGCCTGAAGCATTTATTATTTTTCTCTCAGCTGTAGGTTAGTGAGGTTAGTCAGCCTGAAGTCTAGACACAATACCAACACTGACACACAGCCAGTGCATCAGGAAAGAACTGAAGTGCTGCTGCAAGGCAAGCACAGTGCAGTGCTAATTACCATCGCTGGGAAATCACTCTGAGTGCCAGAGCTGTTGACTCTGTGCTTTTACCACTGTCTTAGAGATTAGCAACTTTTTCCACCTTCAAACCTTATTTAAAATGATCAGAGAAAGTATTATGTCCCATAAACATCACATCAGATAAAATATTCTCACTCTTAAAGCTGAAAGTGTCAATTTGAGTAAAAGCTTTATTTAATTTAGGGTTTCAGCATCTGCAGCTGATGTACTGCAGTCCACAGCAATAACCACTAAGCAATCAGGAGCCATTACAGCATGAATAATGCTGCAAACAGTAAATCACCAAAACCAAATTATTAAAGTACCTGCTGCACACAGTGAAGCATGGGAAACAGCATCCCTGAATTTCCAGTTCAAAAATCTTTGCATGTTAGTAGAAATCTGGGTCATCATGTTCTGAAATTTAATCATTCTATACGAGGCAAACATGATTACATCCCTTTGCCTAACAGCATGAGGTAAGCAATTGCAAAGGAATTCTTCATTACAGGCATTATTTTGGCAAACTTCCCAAGGCAGTTGCAGGTTTGATTAGCCACCAGGACTGAACTCTCTACAGCAAGAATTCTCACCCACGTATGGCTACTGGCATACCAGGAGAGATGGAAAAACATGCTGGGTTAAATATTTCAAGGTAATTTTTCAACTGACACGGAAGCAGAATGTATTTTCTGCTTATGCTTGCTAAGCTACTGCATCAAACAGCCTTACACATATAAGGGGAAAAGAACTTGTAGAAAACAAACTTTGGGGATTGAATCCATCCACAAACTCAAATCTTGTCCCTGAGCACCAGAAGGAATAAAGACAATAACACAACTGAATCCAACAGGAGTTTATTACCCACACACTGCAGGTGAAGTTAGACACTTCAGTTACCAGTCAATGTAAGCTTAAGTATTAATTGACAACTCAGAAAATGTACAACGAGTACAAAATCATTAACAACAGTAAAACAAAGTGCTGATGTATTAATTTTTAAAACATCAGTTGTACACTATTATACAGCAAACATTATGTGATCCTCAACTAACTTGGGGCTTGCATCTCAACTGTTTGGGTTTTTTTTTTTTTAAATCAAGTTCTCCAAGAGGTTGAGAGACTGGGTTACAGCCTTACCTTACACAGACAATGCTGGTTTGTATTTTGTCAACTTCCTTTTATCAGGGAATGCAGTTAACAGGAAAAAAACCTATACATAAAAAAAAATTAAGCTCCAATACACAATATTTTATATATATATATAGGTATATATATTGTACTACAGATTTCATATAAATCAAGTGTAGGCCAAATTTTGGCATAATTTTTAAGTGCATCAAGTTTAATACAAAATCCCCCTCAGACTCGACTCTGACTGTTCCCATTACTTTCTCCTGAACTGATCTTTTTCAGTTTTGATACTTTAGTCATATAGAATTGTCTTAAGAGCTAATTTCCATTTCAGTAATACCACTCTTATCTTTCATTACACTTTCTAACAAAAATAAACTAGTTGGAAAATTTAGTGACTAATTTAGTCAAAGTTCAGTGATGAATAAAATTCTCCAACTTGATGTGATTTACATTTACTAGTCAGTATCTCTAAGGTACTGTTATCCCATGTACCCCCTCTTCTCCTCTGATCCTACAGGAACAGTTACTGATCATACACTGCAAGCACACCCTGCTTTCCTTTCTTTTCTTATAAGGCCTCCTACCAAGCTGCAAATAATTTCTGGTGCAGAATGGAGTGCAAAGAAATTTTTCTAATGCATGGCTAAATTTGCTTCAAAACCAGCATGTGATACTTGCTTTCCAGAGAACACCTAAAGTGCTTTATCCTCTCTGCCACACAATATCACATTTTGTTTCTAAATTCGGCTTTCATTGCCTTTATTCAGTATTGCAAGAAAAACTATGTTAGTGACCCAATTCATCTATCAATTTGACAAATATATCATTTGCAGTAAATTTTAAAACAGGCTTATATAATTTTTTTCTGAAACAAAAGGCCACTTAAGTTTTCCTGTAGAATGAAGTCTGGCAAGAAGTCATTCAACTTCCTGCCACAAAAAAGTTAAGATTCCTCAAAGTCGTTTGTAGAATACAGAAATAAATTTTATAACCAGCAAACATTCTACTTCAGACCAAAGAGCCACTCAAGAACCAGTAAGTTGAGTCACAATACCCCAAGGTAAATTTTAAAACAGGCTTATATAATTTTTTTCTGAAACAAAAGGCCACTTAAGTTTTCCTGTAGAATGAAGTCTGGCAAGAAGTCATTCAACTTCCTGCCACAAAAAAGTTAAGATTCCTCAAAGTTGTTTGTAGAATACAGAAATAAATTTTATAACCAGCAAACATTCTACTTTAGACCAAAGGGCCACTCAAGAACCAGTTACAGTAAGTTGAGTCACAATACCCCAAGAAGCCAGTGCTCCTCTCATTTTATCTACTGACTTTATTCTGGGGTCTCTTCATTCAAGGAATTATGGTACAGAGGGCAAGTGTTAGAAATGTGCAGCCAGTTCCACCTACAGAGAATGGACTTCCAAGTTGAGCCCTTTAGCAATCTTGTAAAAACAGGGCTAAGAGTGATTTTAACAAGGAAAATCCCCCAAAAGCAAGGCTGTCACATTTAGAGCTGAGTCACTTCACACTCACTGAGCCTGCTCACAGTCAGGACGGCCTTGCCCTTCAGCTTCATTCTCAGCCTCGTGTGGAAGGAACCAAGTGCAGAACTCCCAGCTAAGTTAGCAGGGGTTTGACAGCAAAGCCCCTTCATGCCATTGAATTATTTAATATCTTCTGTACTGTGTGTGAAAACTGGGGTTTTTATTGAGAAAGCGAATACTGAAACAGAAACAACTTTAAGCACAACAGATGTGTTTACTTACAGCATGCAAGTATTTGTTTTTATATATTTTTGCAAGTAACAACCCCTAATTATTTACAAGTTCAAAATTACAATCTTCACATAAGTAGCAATTGTTTACAGAAGTTCTGGACACTGTCTCAGAAATAAGCAAAAAATGGAGTAAAAATACTGAGAGCAGTAATTAAAAAAAAAAAAAAAAAAAAAACAAAACCAACAAACAAAGGAAAACATATTAGCTTCTAATAGCCAGACAATTTAACACTGTTCTGGTAAGAAAAAAAAAACAAACAACACAAAAGCCACATATCACATTTGGAGATGCCATTTTAAAAGAAATGCATCTTTGTTTGGTTTTTCTTTCCAGGAGAAATGCTGTACATAACCTTAAAAAATTCCAAATAAATAAATAAAACCCAACTCCCTTTGGTTTGCCAATTTACCTTCAAGTGGCTCCTCCACCTCCTGCTCAGAGACCCAACAGCTTCACAGGTGATCACACAGGAAAAAGCAAAAGCAATGCTTTTTTATAAACATGAAACATTTTTCCAAAATAACAGATTCTAAAACTCACCCAAGATGCACATGTCAGTTCTCAGTGAGGGCCAGGCCAGAAACAGTCCTGCTCCTATGTTTAAGGCAGTCTCAGACTAATTTGCATCTCTTCAGCCTCTTGGAAAAGAGAATTTTGTGTCAAACTGCTCTCTACCTGCCTGTTTAAAGGTTTATTTCATACAATAATTAAAAAAGGCAAATTTAGCCTGCAGCTTTTTGTGACAAATGTGCATTTATACCTGGTTCTATGAAGTAGTATTTCTCTCTGGGACTGAGGGAGTCCACAAGCAGGATGTTTTTGCACCATGTCATAAAGGGTTTCAAGCATTTTTCCTTCTGGAAAGACATTTCACTACCTCTTAAAGCTATGTTAACTTATTTATAAAGTATTTGGTACCAGCTGGTGCTCAGACTAGAAACATTTTTCATGTTTAACTCTAAGAATAGATTAGGGCAAAGAAAGTGCTCTAGTTTTACCTGCTGCTTTGTTCTGCCCAATTCCAAGGAATCTTAGCTTATCAGAAAACAAAATTATACAACAGTACAAATACTTTACTTGGATTTTTAAGCATTTGCATGTCTGTAATTCTTTATCCTCTAAAGGTATTCATGTTGCATCACATTTTGTGCTAACTGCCATCTGAAGCCTAACCTCTTATAAAACATGAAAATAGAACAGTAGAACTTTTTCTCATGTAAACTTCAGTGAAGTAATTGCTGAAGGTGCTGTCCAGACATTCTGATGGACATGTCCTGGGTAGTGGTATATGGAACATGACATTTTGAGCTTACACAATGTACTGTATAAAAACATAAAAAATAAATTTATGACAGTAGAATAAGCTACAGTGCAATTTTCCTTAGCCTGTTGAAAGCTCTGTGTGATCTTTTTCACCCCTTCCAGGTCCTCCACAGTACATTTCATGTTCCATTAATACTACAAGAGAGCAAGCACAGCTAGAAAATACAGCTTTAATTATGCTCTTTGTGATGTAAACTTGCAGTTTCTACAAGTCCAATATGTACCTTAAAAAATTAGTTTTGCTCACTACCTTTCCTGTGCTAGAATTTAAACATTTTTTGCTATAAACTGTAAAGCTATGATATTTAAGAAGAATATGCCCTAAATTTCAGAGAAAGTTATCCTATTATTTTTAACAGTCTTCAGACTAACTAAATATCATTGAAACTACACCAGTTGCTTAGGGCTTTAAGCATAAGGCATTTTGTGTACATTCTCCCAGCTATTTATTTAATGGCTATCTTGGTTTGCGAAGCCAAATCAGTGGAAATCCCACTCTCAAAACCTCAGAAACCAATTCACCTTTTGCTGCACATTCTGCATTGAACTGCTAAAGAGGAACAGACAAAAATCAAATCCAGAAATAGACACTGAAACAAGCTAACCATTTTCTACTGGGTAAGATCTTTTCAGCTGTGGAAGTTAACACACTCTCGGGTCTGAATACCTCAGTTTGATACATTCATAGCAGTGCATTCAGGATGAACAGCAGAAATGCACCAGAAAAGTTGAGTTTTTCACATCATCCAGTGCCAGCGTACCATAAACCTCGTCTGCTTCAAAGCAAGTGAAGTTAATTTTGTCAATCTACATATTAACAGCTTAGAGATATCATCTCCAACACAGAAAACCTTCTAAAACCAAATACTGCTTACAAAAAATGTAGGCTTTGTATTCTATCTAATCACCATATTTCCCAACCAAATGATGCTTTTCCTGAAAAACAAGTACAATACTAAATTAATTAATTTGTGTCTGCTCAGACACTAAGACAGCGCTTCCTGCAGTGTTCCTGACATGGAAAGAACAGATCAGGCAACACATGAACAAGACAAAAGGAAACAGAAAAAAGGCACATGAAATTACACTTGAAGGGAAAAGGATCATGAAAAGCTGAAAAGCACATAATAAAATCCTGCCAAATTTAGACATCACAAACTGTTCATGCATTGACCGTACTGTCTTGACTGCTCACAATCTGTCAATCAGAATGATTAAAAGTTTAACTGTTACATTGTCTTATAACTAAATTGGGTAAAAGTGATTATCACCTTTAAATATAGTATGCTAATGCATAAAAATACAGATTTTTCTAGAATAAGTATAATATTTTCTAACCAAATACCTAAAAGCAGTGGTCCTTCTAGATTAGTTTGGAATAATAAGTGAAGCCCATTTCTTTGCAGAATGGGGTGCTTTTATTGTTTATATGTTTAAATAATTAATTTTGAATATCCATCCACTGTATAAACAATCTCCAGAAAAATATATCCTCTTGCAGTAACTTACAATACACATTAAAAATACTTACAAAAGGGACTATTATTCATTTACAATATCTTGAGCTCAAGGACACAATTCCTGGGTCATTTCATTTATGCAATTTTGATCAGGAAATTCTGAGCATTCTGGTTAACCTGGACCATGTCAGCAACATGGACAATTAACATTTTTTAATATCTGCCTAATTACGTAAGATTTTCCATAAAATTAGGCATTTTTACATCACAGTATATATGGCATTTCTTAATTTAGCAACAGAAAGGCACAGTTATTAAACCATAAAATACAGTACCTGAATTATATATACTCTAGTGATATCTACCAATGCTAATCCAGACATTTTTCTCTGCAAATGGGGCCAAAGCAAAAGGCTTGTTTATTTAGAAAAATTCAACCTCATTACAAGTTTGGTCCTTTAAAAATACCTATTAGTTGAAATACCTTGAAGCAGGACTTCAGGAAAGAATAGAAGAAAGCAAATGTAACAGTTTATGGTCCAACAACTTGAATTAATTACCGTGAAATGGCAAACAGATCATGAATGAAGCCTTCTGATCAGCTGTCAGACACACCTGCTAAGGTGTCAGTGTACACAGGTACAGCCTGGCAGCCATCCCAGATACATTCACTGCATCACACACACACACCAACTTGGTTACAGCAATAAGTCCAAAAAACAGCATTTACAGAGGTCAGCACTTCTCCTGGACTGATGCTTGACTGCTGGCCCTAAACCATCCCCAGAGATGTGCAAAGCCCTTTAAATGCTTTGCTTGCTTTGTATTGCTGTTAATAGGAAGACCCTGCTAAAGCCAAGCTGGCTGGCCTTCCCTTAGCAAACTAGTGCACCTTTTCAAAAAGCAACTAGCTCAGTTCTCCCTACCCAAAGTGATCAAACTGCATCAGGAAAGACCAATGAAATGGAAGAGGCAAGGAACAATGAACATGAGGGAGAAGCCCACCATTCCGTAGGTGATATAGCGGTAGGGCAGCTCCACCTCCATGCGCTGCCTGGCTCTCCGCACGTCGCCCTGTGGGATGCGGAATATTTTACAGGCCAGAGGAATCGTGGCTTTCTTCATGGCCACTTTTGTTAACAACAGAACGATGACTCCGATCAGCAAGCGCAGGATGGCTTTTCCAAACACAGTCACGGTGAGGGAGGACAGGGACAAGGGCAAGGTGTGGGGAGGAGGATCCAGCTGCAGAGCCAGGATGTAGTTGACGTGAGAGCCGCAGGCCACGCCGGCACCGCAGCCCAGGATCTGAGCTGTGTCTCCTCGCGACGTGCTCCACGTGTCCAGGGTGAAAGAGAAGATGCCCAGGGCCAAGTGGAGACTGATGATAATTAAAGGTGCATATTTGTAAGTTAAGTTGAAGTTGTCAATCAGGTCCACAAGTGGATGGAAGATAACCAGGATAAGAATAGCATACAGAAATCCAGCAATGACGTCCTGTTGAAGAGAAAGAGATGGTTTCGGTGTTTTTTAAAAAAGCCCTCAAGTTGCATTAACAAGAATTCAAGCCTAGCTGCTGTAGTGTTAAAAGCAACTTGTGGATTCCCATATTTTACCTTTTACAGGATTAAATCTTTCTTATGTTAAACATAAGGTAAGGAAATGCATTTGATCACCTATTAACAAATCATCTGCATCCTGACCAGATCATGAATGAAGTTATGATCAAAGGATCTTTCACTCAAATTGCAGGTCTGGACTTTTTAGTAAGGCCTGTTGCAACAGGGCAAGGGGTGATGGTTTTAAACTAAAAAAGGGGAGATTCAGACTGGAATAAGAAAGACTTTTTTTCCAGTGAGGCACTGGTACAGGTTGCTCAGAGAGGTGGTGGATGCCCTGTCTCTGGAAACATACAAGGTCAGGTTGGATAAGGCTCTGACTAGATAATCTTTAAAGGCCTCTTCCAGGCCAAAACTATTCTGTGATTCTTCTATGATTTTCTCTGCTGGCAACACTGGTCCCTGTCCAGGGCCAGGGCATTCCAACCTACAGTCAGCACAAATCCAGCTCAGCTAAGTATGTTCTGCCAACTTAAGTTTGCTGAAACAGCTCAACAGTGGCTCTGAGGGCCTGGGTGCCAACACACCCAACGCTGGCAGCAGCAGCAGCAGCTGGTGCAGCAGTCAAGGACCACTGCAGTCAGGCACTAGAGCAGCTTCAGCTTTCACTCCTGCTTCAGAATTAACAATGCTGGAATAATGGGAACTGTTTCCAAATATTAAAGGAGAGGAAGAGATAACCTCTGTGGCTTCCCAACTGATTTGCAGTGTTACTATTGTTTTTAAAGGTCTTTTCTTAGTGAAAAGGGTACCCAATGATTTTTTTACTTCAGCATTAAATTTCAG